TATAGAAACATGGGATTTGTGCCTATAATCTTTTAAAAATCATAATTTGAAGATCAATGTACCTCATTCATTGATGAATGAAAAAGTTTCAGAGATGTATATATATAAAATGTACTAGATGTATTTACAAAACTGCATCAAAATGATCAAAATGTATAGCAATGGTCTACTTTCTGCTGTTACATCAGGGTTCACGTTTATGTCTTTTCACATTTCTTTTTTTTATGAGTTAATGAAAATAAACAATTTTTACTTTTATTTCAGAGTTGACTGAAGAAAGTGAGGAGAATGAAGAATTGAGTGAAGTTGAGGGAAAACATCTCTTCAGAACTGGAAAAAAACCTTTGAGTTGCTCTCAAACGCAGAAAGATTTAAAGAAAAGAAGATCCCAGAAATCCTTCACCTGCACTCAGTGTGGAAAGAGATGGACATGCAAACGTCATCTTGAGCTTCACTTGAGAGTTCATACTGGAGAGAAACCATACGCTTGTGATCAATGCGGGAAGAGTTTCTCACACTCATCAAGCCTTAAGCATCACATGAACATCCACACTGGAGAGAAACCGTTCTCTTGTAATCAGTGCGGGAAGAGTTTCACACAATCAGCACATCTTAAGGATCACATGAACAACCACACTGGAGAGAAGCGGCACACATGTGATCAGTGCGGAAAAACATTTTTGAGAGCTTCAAACCTGAAGCAGCACCTGAGACTTCATACAAAGGAGAAGCCACATTCATGTGTTTAAAACAGCATGAGAGAATCCACACTGGAGAGAAACCTTACAAGTGTTCACACTGTGACAAGAGATTCAGTCGGTCAGGAACCCTGAAAACACATGACAGCATCCACACTGGAGAGAAACTGTACACATGTGATCAGTGCGGAAAGAGTTTTAGAAAAAAAGGACACCTTACATCACACACGAGAGTTCATACTAGAGAGAAACCGTTCTCTTGTGATCAGTGCGGAAAGAGTTTCAAACAAAAAGGACACCTTACATCACACATGAGAGGTCATACTAGAGAGAAACCGTACACTTGTGATCAGTGCGGGAAGAGTTTCTCACATTCATCAAACTGTAAGTATCATATGAACATCCACACTGGAGAGAAGTGGCACACATGTGATCAATGCGGAAAAACATTTGTGAGAGCTTCAGACCTGAAGCAGCACCTGAGAGTTCATACAAGGGAGAAACCACATTCATGTCATTTGTGTGGAAAGAGTTTTTCACGTCTACACCATTTAAAAGAACATCAGAAAACACATACTGGTGTGAGAGCGTACATGTGCTTTGAGTGTGAGAAGACGTTTACTTCAGCGAGCCATTTAAAACTGCATGAGAGGATTCACACTGGAGAGAAACCTTACAAGTGTTCACACTGTGACAAGAGATTCAGTCAGTCATCAACTCTGAAAACACACGAGAGGATCCACACTGGAGAGAAACCGTATCACTGCACTGCATGTGGGAAGAGTTTCAATCAATCTTCTAATCTACAAAGTCATACAAAAAACAATCACAGTAAGTAGATCAACTCAAACATGGAGTTCCTCCCCAAAGAACAATGTCAAAAAGTTTTATTTTTGTATGCCATTTTGATTCATGATATAAATGACATTAGTGTGCTTTCTTATGAGTTTCATATTTTGCCAAAAAGGGAAAGAAAGAAACACAGACATTTTTAAACTTCATTACAAGCCATACAATTGTTGAAAGTAATTTACTGAAACTCTGGAATTTTCCATAATAAAAGGCAAAAAAAAAAAGAAGAGCTACCATATTAATCTTACTGCATGCACCCAAGTGTGAAAAGTGGCAAATTTTCTTCTTTTTCTTTTTTTAAATTTTTGAGTAGACATTCAAAAACAGGAGCAATTCAACAGATTGAAGGTGATCATGTCTGTCAATTTGACTGGAATCCATCTTTTTGTTGTCTTCCTCGGGAGAAGAAAAATGTCAATTATAATCATGACAACACTGGGCGAAACTGTTGAAGTGTCACGTCAGATATGATTGTGTAACTCTTACCTGTAAGAAGGCGTGATCGTGTTAAAACTAAAATGCTCCTGCAGTAATCTGAAAGTGAGAATCACAGTAAAGCACATGTTGATGCAGTACTTCAGCACTCATCATTTTACTTGAACCCAAGTCTACAGTTGGCCACAAACGGGCAAAGGTTTTACACCTCACCGGAAGTGGTGTTTCGTTCTTCCTGTATCTTACTTCAGTGTATTGTACACTCCAGATTCTGAGAAATCCAGAGCATTTTGCTTCATTATTATCATTCTCATGTTATCACCATGTCTCATTATAAATGCTGTCGACCTAATCAACATTTTACATCAAAACAATGTGCTCTCCAGATTCTGAGAAATCCGGAGCATTTTGCTTCATTATTATCATTCTCATGTTATCACCATGTCTCATTATAAATGCTGTCGACCTAATCAACATTTTACATCAAAACAATGGTTTAGCCATTTAACATGGAATATTGTTTTAGATTTCAAAAATGTATGCTGTGCTACAAACACGCAGTTCATATTTAATACTTTTTGTAGGGGTGAGAACCAGAAGGGCGTAAGTGACATTTCACCAACTTTACAGGAGGGCCAAAACAAAAATCTACCATAGTTTGATCTGATTTTGTGTACTGACTTTAATCATTTATAATCAAAATGTGTACACACATGGATGACAGTATACTTATTGAACACTATTTTAAAATGTAATCAGAATATTTGTTTTATAATTTTTATTTAAAAAAGCCGTATTTGCCTTTTTGGCACCAATGTTTTATTAAATTTCGTGTATAAAAACATGGGCACATCTGCTGACAATATGAACAAAACATTGCATTAATGAGTTTAAAAGAAATAACAATCCATTGTGATAAAATAAAATATCACATAAAAAGCCCTTACATCAACTTAGTTAATTGAATGTGATTAATTTGACTGAAATAGTCTGAAAGAGTCTTTGCCGAGCTTCGGCGGAAATATTGGATTCTTTGAGGCAGAGAGGCCATCAAACGGTGTCAGAGTACTTGTGTGGACTGCCAGAAATGGAGAAGAAACCCTGAGGTACGAAAAATGGCAGACCTCCCTCCAGCCAGATTACGTTTATTCAAGCCCGCCTTCTACTCAACAGGAATGGATTGCTTCGGTCCATATACTGTTAAAGTAGGTCGCAGAAACGAGAAGAAATGGGGCATCCTGTTCAAATGTCTAACTACCCGGGCAGTTTACATTGACGTCCTTCATAGCCTCGACTCTGATTCATTCCTTATGGCTCTCAGACGATTCATCGCTAGACGCGGCAAGCCATTCTAGCTATTATCGGATCAAGGGACCAACTTCAAAGGAGGGGAGAGAGAACTGAAAGAAGCATACACAGCTATTGTCCCAGAACTGCAACAGCAGCTGGCAAGCCAGCAAATACAATTCCACTTCAATCCCCCTAATTCTCCACACTTTGGTGGCAGCTGGGAAAGAAAGATTCGCTCCCTTGAACAGGCCTTGATGACAACACTTGGTGCCCAGTCTGTCACCTTCGAAAGTACTGTACACTGTACTGGTGGAGATCGAAATTCCAAGCCACTAGGCTACATTTCATCTGACATATCTGATCTAGACCCCATCACACCAAGTTCCCTTCTCATGGGGCGGCCAGATTCATCACTTCCTCCTGTGATATACCCAGAATCTGAACTGATCAGTCGACGCAGATGGCGCCATAGTCAAGTCCTTGCCGACCAATTCTGGAAGCGCTTCCTCAGGTTCTACCTTCCCAGCCTTCAGACCCGCCAGAAGTGGCAAGATGAGAAATCTGACCTCCAGGGTGACACCATCGTCCTGATCGTCGACCCCCAGCTACCCAGAGCACTGTGGCCGGTGGGCCAGGTGTCGAAGGTATTCCCTGGAGTAGACAGCAGAGTAAGAGTAGCAGAAATTAAGGTGGGAAAGAAGTTGTACACATGCCCAGTCGCACGCCTCATCCGATTGCCTGCCATACCAGATTAAAGCTACTCTGAATGGTATAGGTTATAGGCCCTTTTGTTATTGTACATATTTCCTTCCGAAAATATGGGGGCGGCTGTAAAAAAGGCCACACACAGGTTATATTCATGTGTCTTAGTTTCCCTTGCAATACACTACAGTCAACTCAGACGCAGCATCCATCCTGTCATGCTGCCAGCCAATCAGCGCTCCGGGCAGGATGCGCAGGTCAGCGGTCCCACCCACTGAACTGAGTTAGAACGATCGGGAAAGAGGACGGATGCTAGCAGAACTGTAGCGATTTATCTTTGCTAAAGTTGTGTGCGTGCCTATAAAGTAAGTAACAGTCTTTTCATCCATTGCTTTCTGCATTGTTTGTGAACATTTAACTGCTCTGAGTGTTTATAAGTTAATGTATGCGAGTGACAAAGATATTACCGTTATGTTTAGTAGACATAATCTATCTGCCATTTAATCATCATATGGTTTATTTAATATATATATATATATATTTAATAAATCACTGTATTTAATATAATCTTTGTGCAAATATTGTGTTATTATATTTATTGTGACCACTGTTATTTGTTATTTGTACTTATATATTTTTCTTTTATCTTTAATTTGTAGAAAACCACACAAACATGAAAACCGAAATGTCTTCAGTGTACTGAGTTTGTGGTGACAATAAATGGGTTATTCCCGCATACCTGATCATCTGTGGTAAAGTCTCTAACCGGACGCTCCGTAGTGGGTTTGTTATCAACCGGCAAATTAACAACCAGGAAGAAGAGCTACCAGTAGCCATTCCTTTTTACATTATCTGTGTCCTACATGTTTCACTCAACCGTTACTTCTGACATGATTTTCCTCATTTCACAAAACAGAGCATTTCTTAAAACGGTGACATCACCTGGGCTCTTTCTACAGCATGATGGGAGGACAAGAACATCTTCTCAGTCCATTGTCTCAGGTTTTGCACAAACTGTACAGTGCTGACCGCATTCATCAGCCCTGTTACCAACGTTATTGTAAAAAGAATAATCTCTATACCTATGAGTAACTGATAAAATTTATGAGAAATATAACTTTATCAGTAACTGTAAATCAGATTTTGCTTAAATTATGCTTAATTTACAACCCCGTTAGCCATTCTGGGAAAGTTCATTTACTTGATAGCTTTTTCAGTTTCACAATGCTTTAACAGGGTAACAGGGTTGCAGAAAATGTTAATCATATATAGTTAAGTGTAAAATAAAAAAGCTAAAATAATATTTAGTTTGACCTGATGTTGATAATCAATATGAACGTTTCTCAAACCTCCCTTTACTGAACATTTGTTTTACTATTTACAATAGTTTAATTATTTCATCTCACAGCTCTTAAAGGGTTAGTTCGCCCAAAAATTATAATTAGCCCATGAGCTACTCACCCTCAAGGCATCCTAGGTGTATACGACTTTCTTCTTATATATATATGAGCACTTGGATACGCTTTATTTTACTTCTTTTGGACTGATGCACTGCAACACCCACTGACTGCCATTAAACAGCTTGGACGATCAAAGACCATTTTTAATATAACTCCGACTGGATTCGTCTGAAAGAAGAAAGTCATATACACCTAGGATACCTTGAGGGTGAGTAGCTCATGGGCTAATTTCATTTTTGGGTGAACTAACCCTTTAAGATGATCTCATCTTAACTGCTTTACTGATGATGTGATTGCAGTGGAAGGAGCTTAACTGATGATGATGTGATTGCAGTGGGAGGAGCTTTACTGATGATGATGTAATTGCTGTGGGAGGAGCTGATCTGCCAAAATAAAAAATATATCAGTATTTAATGTATCTGTTACTGGATCCAGATTTACAAAAGTGATTTTACTCTTGCATCAATTAAATGCAAGTGTCTATGTTTCAAGTAACTTTTGTGCAAACAAAATGTCAAAATACAGGTGTCACAGTTATGGGCGTTTTGTTGTGTTTTTTCATTACCCATGTGCTCTGTGTGACCTACTTTTCCCTCATGTTTGATTGTGTCATTATGTTCAGGTGTGTCGTGTCATTATCCTCATTTACGTTCCCCATATAAGTTGCATTCTGTTCAGTGTTTGGTGGTCCGGTCTCGTCGATGTATACATGTGTTTGCTACCTGTTTGTTATGGATTACCCCTATGTGGATTATTAAAGACGGTATATCTATCTTCTTCTTCTTCGTGCGCTCACTCCTGAATCTCAAAATATAGGTGAAATAATGTTCCATCATCATTCAGCATAACAGATATATTTATATATAAAACAACATAGTTATTCTGAGTTGTACTTATTAAAATATGTAAAAGAAAAAGTGATCATACCATATTTTATTACATTTTAAATGATTACAAAGTTCTTGCTAACAGTTGGGTAAAACCTAGTGGTGTGAAGGATAGTGGCAAATATAAAGATTTAAAATGTTAATTAATTAATATTTTGGAGCTACACTATATATGATCCTTAAATATAGTATTTGAATATGTCCTCAAATGATTTTTGTTCTAAATATGCCTGATTTGTATTTATTTATTGCTATAAAAACCCCTTTTTGTCTTTGACTCATACACTAATCGACACATTTAAGCATCTACATCTGTCTATCATAAAAAACAGCATTTATTGATGAATTACTGTGGGAGCAGCTTCACTGATGAGGTGTTTGCAGTGGGCGGAGCTGATCTGCCAAAATCAAATATATATATCAGTTTTTAATATATCTGTTACTGTGTCCAGATGTCAAATTTTAGTGTCTGCATCAAATTAAATTTACAAAAGTGATTGTATATACATAGAAAATCAATTAAATGCAAGTGTCTATGTTTCAAGTAACTTTTGTGAAAACAAAATGTCAAAATACAGGTGTCACAGTTATGGGCGTTTTGTTGTGTTTTTTCATTACCCATGTGCTCTGTGTGACCTACTTTTCCCTCATGTTTGATTGTGTCATTATGTTCAGGTGTGTCGTGTCATTATCCTCATTTACGTTCCCCATATAAGTTGCATTCTGTTCAGTGTTTGGTGGTCCGGTCTTGTCGATGTATACGTGTGTTTGCTACCTGTTTGTTATGGATTACCCCTATGTGGATTATTAAAGACAGTATATCTATCTTCTTCTTCTTCGTGCGCTCACTCCTGAATCTCAAAATATAGGTGAAATAATGTTCCATCATCATTCAGCATAACAGATATATTTATATATAAAACAACATAGTTATTCTGAGTTGTACTTATTAAAATATGTAAAAGAAAAAGTGATCATACCATATTTTATTACATTTTAAATGATTACAAAGTTCTTGCTAACAGTTGGGTAAAACCTAGTGGTGTGAAGGATAGTGGCAAATATAAAGATTTAAAATTTCAATTAATTAATATTTTGGGGCTACTCTATATATGATCCGTAAATATAGTATTTGAATATGTCCTCAAATGATTTTTGTTCTAAATATGCCTGATTTGTATTTATTTATTGCTTTAAAAAACCCTTTTGTCTTTGACTCATATACTAATCGACACATTTAAGCATCTAAATCTGTCTATCATAAAAAAATGATGCTAATTACCAAATCTGTATTTCTATTCTAACATTATTCTGTTTCTTTATTAAAATAACAGCAGATATGTAGGAAGAAAAACACTTGAAAGTATAAAGTCACATGTTTGTAACAAACAAGCCTAAGTCTGTTGACACCAATGAGATGAGCTTTAAATTACAATTTACAGGAGTTCTGAAGACATCAGCATAATAAATGAGGTGAAAACAGGCACTATTGACATGAAAGAAAGAGTGGTATTGTTGTGTTATTATTGATGTTTGATCGTCTATTGTGTGATCTGCTGATGATCTGAATGTCTTGTTGAATGAGTGTTGATCATCTGAGTCTCATCAATATTAAAATAAAGCGGCACAAGGAATATTTATTATTATTTAATATTATTGATTCCATTGTCAAACTTTACTCATATTTATCTATATTAACATAGATTTAAAATGTCTCACGTGGCTCATTATAAGTAAAGTATTTAGCAGTTTCTATTCCAGTATATTTTAACAATGTAAAGAAACAAATTAGTCAGAAGAGTAGAAATAAAACCACAGCAGAAACACCTGAGATAGATTCTTAAGTGAGGCTCCTCCCACAAGAATCACATCATCAGTGAAGCTCCGCCCACATTAATAGCATCATCAGTGAA